TATTTTGTGATAATTATTTATAATATATTTTATATATTATAAATATCTTAATAAGTGATGACAAAATTCTTCTAAAATTGGTTAGTATTTTAATTATTATTTACTAATATATTATGAATTTAATAATTTATAAAATAAGTTTAAATGAATATATTATTGAAATTTTTTTATAATAATAATCTATTTTTTTTTTTTTTAAAGCCAATTTCAAAAAGTAATTGTATAATAAATTAAAACAAATATGATTAAAACATAATTATTTGTCAAAACAAAACCATTTATTAAATAGTTAAATAAAAATATATAAACAAAATAGAATAAAATAAAACCAAAAATGCATACTTAACAAATTATTAGTTAAATCTTTATTTCATAATATGATTACACAAAAAGTCTAAAAATAATAATTAAAAGCAATAATAATTCTCTTTTCTCTCATATTACAAAAGGAAAGAATGTTGTAAAATCACAAATGTATATTAATCTATCTAATCAATCAACCACATTGTAAGTTTTATATTAACTTAAGGATCTATAAAGAAAATAAAAGAGTAATAATCTATTTATTTATCTATCTAGTCTATCAATTATATGATAAATGTTGGTTGTTATTCTACAACCGTAGCATTGCTATTAAAAACTTCCTAATTCTTTTGGTAAATAATAACTTTGCAGCCAACCAATAAACGAAAGTATAGATAATACAATAAACACAAACCAATTATTAAATGGAAAACTTAAATCGTTCGCCAAAGACCAGGACCAGAGAAATCCGCCTTTTAAAAGAATATTTTGAATTATTTAAAGTTGTTTTAATTTTTTTGCAAAAAAAAAAAAGATCATCATACCTAAAGCAGGTCCAATCGCACGTAAGAAACTGCAAGTCATTTGACCAATTCCATTAGCATAACCTAGTACTTCAGGCGTTGCGGAATTATTAAGCTAAAAACAAAAAAAAAAAAGTGAATTTTTCTTAAACATAAATCAGGATGATATTTATCAATTAATATCAAAGTTTACCAAGATCATGACGGATGTGTAAGCTAGAACGTTACAGATAAATCGAGCAGCTAAAAGGAATAATAAGGCGTACCAAACTATAGTATCACTGTAAGGTGTTGTTAACGCAATTTTTAATCGATTAATCAAGGGAAAGGCAAAATAAACCGGAACGTAGGCCAATAGACCAAGATGGAACAACTGTATTATGCTAATTTTACGCGCTATCCATGGATATACATAGATTTGAGTAGATAAATGAATCATCCCCATTATCGTTAAACTTTGAGCTATATCAATTGCTTGATATTCAAGGCCCCCATCATGAACTTTCGCTACCGCAAATAATGTATAAATCTCATCACTCATTATAGAGTGAAGTGCAAGGATGGCATTACTTATAATGGCATTTAGTGTGACGAGTGAAATACCGATGAAAGGAATCGGTTCCTGATTATAAGGCATAACTGTCGGATCGTAATCACCATATTCAGAGATACAATCGTCTTGTAAAGTATTATCACGATGACCAACTGCACCATATGATTTCTTGATCGGATTAGGTTCGGGTGGAATAAGATGAGTTCTGCTCTCATCATCATCATTTTTAACTTTGAATTTTCGGGTTTCCGGCAACATAAAATATCCTATGATAAGCCCAGTAAAACTAACAGAAGCGGCCACTAAACATGGAAGGAAATAAGGATATTCTTTAAGAAAAGCGCAATTGCCAAAGATGTTAGGATACTTATCTACGGGATTAGACAAATATCCCCCTATCATAGGACCGACTGTTTACAGCAAACATCATTAATTATCTGGGTAAATTAAATTATAATAATAGCAAAAGAAAGATAGGAATCAAGTTCATACATACAGATGACACCAAGGCCCCAACAAAACCCAAAGACGGAAAAGCCTTTGGCCTGATTCGTTTTATCAGTCAATTCACCAAGCATACTCTTTGCAACGCCAGCGTTCCCCTGATTTAATAATAAAATATATAAAAAAAAAGTGAATTAAACTTGGCCCGAGTTAATTTTTTAACTAAAAACGTTTATATTTACGTTTAACATCCCACAAAGTGATCGAGTTATGATTGCCCAAACCAAATTCTTACTTAATCCAAATAATAAACACGATATAGTAATTCCAGATAGACCGAATAAAAGTATTGGACGTCTTCCGTACCTGAGGTTTCAATTTAATTAGCGTTATTCATAATATAATATCTGAACTTACGGAAAAAAAAAAAAAGCTGAATCATACTTGTCGGACATGTAACCCCAAAAAATAGCAAAGCAAAATTGAGTAAGATAAAACGAAGAAGCTTGTGTAACAAATACCAAAACATAATTAATTATTACCATAAAGAAAAAAAGTCTGAATACTCGATATATGATTAATTACCTATTAAACCTGCGTATCTACCAATCTGTTTTTCATCGTCGACCACGTGAAAATCACGTACCTTTTATGAAATTAACCATTATTAATATTATTATTATTATTATTATTATTATTAAAAGGATTTCAAGTTCGTGATCCTGACATACCATGAAATATACAAATGGTAAAAGAAAACTAAAGTTGAGAGGTTCGGAGAAAACAACCACTGCTAACACGAATAAAGGCATTTTGGGCAATGGTGTTTCGGAATACGTTTTACTTCCATGGATCAGGGCTTCTCTTTCATCTTCAACATTATTACTTAAAGAATGCTGAGAATTTAAATTTTCAGGAAGTATATTAGCACTACGAGGCTCTGTTGTATTCGATATTAAGTTATCCCCTGATGAAACGAAAGAATCATCCATTTAAGTATGTGTGACGAATATAAATGCTACTTTGTAGTGAGAAAAGCACTCAAGTAAATCGTCTTTATTAAAAAAATTGTCATGATTATAAATCGGAGTAAGAAATTTTCCTTGAATGATAAATTGGTAAATAATACCGCATATTGCTATCCAAGAAAGGAAACCTGATGACAAAAAAAGAAAATGCCAATTTTGTATAGAACCGCAGAAACCGCATAATTCACTGCGGTTGGCGTGACACTCCTCAATTCTTACTAACAAACAAGATCACGAAATCCAGGTTTACAAGCACTGCATGACTTAGATTCTGGTTAGGTCATTCTCCTAAGGTACCTTATAACCGGAGAACATGCGCAATGAGTATGTCGTCATGTCAAGGCATTTCTTTCCATCAAAAATCGTCATGGATGAAACTTAGTATGCGCCCTCCGTATAGGATCTTTTAGCGAAAAAGTGAATGTCAGATCGTTTATGTAATAAGGTATGGGATTAATTATCTTGGGGCGACAACTTCTTTGAGAAATCAAAAGACTTGACAATTTGTTAACGCTATACCTTTTATTTGCTGGATTTATTTGCATAAATTACGTGCAGGCTTCGCGTAGAATATCAGACGAAAAAATGGAAGCTCATGTATGCTCGGATTTTTAACTACCCAGAAAAATTCTTCGATCATGTGATCCAAAATTATTTATCACCTGTGTAACACCCTTCGCGTTTTCCATTTTCATAAATATTTTAGGGACGAGAATTTTTACAATAGTGAAAATCATATTCGTCACGCAATAAACATCACATCCTTAGATTTAGGGTTTATGGATTATGCATAATGCGGGCCAAATATCACATGATTGAAGAATTTTTCTGGGTGCTCTTGGGGTAGTTCGGATTTTTTAAGACAAATGTGACTTGTTACGCCCTTATTCATCAAAAAGGTTACGGTAATGAAAAGTCACGTGGATGAAAATTTACATTAAATTATTTTTGAGTTTTTTCTGTGAAATTAAATGATGTAAACGTTTCTGACGCACAACGGTTTCCGTTCCCTAGTATTATATTTTAAAGTTCTTTAGACAACAGTTCCTGTTAATCTAGTTTATTAAAAAAAAAATCAATTGCGAGTTAATGTTAGAATAAGGATTAGGATTAAGATTAGGTAATTTATAAAAAAAACCAATTACAAGTTAGCGTTAGGATTAGGTATAGGGTAGTTATTTATAAAAAATATTAATATATTATTATTTTAAATTTGTTAAAAATATGTTAAAACTTTGCATTTTTTCCTGTCGTGACAGTGACCCCAAGGCATTGCCTGGATAGAACTGCTAGTATCAGTAATATTATATTTTTTTCATTATCATTTTCACAGCTTATTTGCACCTTTGTTTATCAGTTAGTTTCTTATTCTTAATGATCCAATTATTTGTTGCGAAATAATCAAAAATTACTGCGCCATAAAAAATTCGATTTATTGAAATCGAAAAATAAATCTTAAAATTGAAACTTGAGAAATGATTATTGAAAACTTTTTTGAACTTATTCCATTTTCTACTCTGGGTTATCCTTCTATCAATACAATTCCTAAGCATTTTCTTGATATTTACTTTATATCCTACATTATACTGAAATTTGTATAGTAGAGCATTACAAAGGATTAAAACGGGAATCCGTGATTATCAAATCACTGCTGTTGCAACTAACTTAATCTGTCCTTAGTGTCTTAGATGAATAAATCCCTCAACATACGAACTACATCGGCATGTATTCCGCAGTTATTAATTAAGTCTCCGATATTTGTATTCGATTTTTTTATTCATTTTGCTTAGTAATACATATTAAAATAATAAAAATTTTACATGCTATAAAAAAATTGATTTATTCCTGATATTAATGCACAAAGTGCACAGACAATGTTTCTTCGATTATTAAAACACGTGATACGCTGTTCTTTACTGAGAATCTAAAACCTCTTGCTGAATTTCAAATAAATCAATGACAAAATTAACACCAACAACTGTACCAGGTACGTAAACTGCATATGGCGTAGGAACTCCCTCAATGATTGGAGGGTCATAGAAAACATCTGCGATCGGAATGGTCACTTGAAAGGCTTTTAAATTCAAG